CCTCCTAACTTTCCTACTAGACTTTAAGGGTCTAGTATGGTTTGGGAGGGGGACCCCAGACTGTTTTTTTTTTCTTTCTTACATTTACATTCTTTCTTACATTTATTTAAATCATTTTTACACTTTTTTTTTCATTTATTTAATTTTTTTTCTATTCTGCTCGCTACTCTATATGTGCATGCTTATCTATGATATGAGGAAACTGTTTTTTCTATCTATATGTTTTCCTCACAATGCAGTATTCACATGTAATATTCTTCTAAGCAAGTAAAACTTAACTCAGCATTCCTCAAGATCTCAGTGCTTCATCTAAACAACCAACAATGTATACAAGTTCCCAAGGTCAATGAATACATGTCAGGAACGCAGACTACGTCTGCTGAGACCAGCCCGAGGACGGCCACAACATCCCCGTCTCGTTGCTAGGCAACGGGCGGACGCTCCGCAATGCTCCACCTCCCCCTTCCCTACACAGCAGGACGAGACGACAGCGTTCCGTTGCTAGGAGACGCTCGGGTCGGGCTTCGTCTCCGGCTCCTCCCCCAACAATTGCTCTGCCTATTTAAGCCCTAGCAAAACACTTGCTCGACGTGCTAGCAAAAGAGCACGTCGAGCAAGCTACTAGGACCCAAGTAAAGGAGACCACCGAGAACCTGCTGCACCAGAACGTGGAGATCACCCTTCAGGACTGCCATCACACCAAGGCGACCACTTCACTTCCTTGCATGGACTTTCCATCTCAACAGCAAGTATTACCAACTTAGACTGAAGACTGTTGAAGTGTTGTTGCTGCCACCTTGTGGGGAATTCATTTAAGTACGCTCCTACTGATGTCCATTAGAACTCTGTATATGCTCAGCCTGAAGCTGTTACCATCTGCAATTACTCACACTCTGTGATAAGGCCATCTCCTGTACAAATTGTAGTGGACTGTCGTATTCTCTCGCATACTAGGTTAAACTACGTTCGACCTCCTAGTGAAGTAACTAAGGCGAACTACAAACCACACCACGGCCCAATGCCTTACAATTGAGCCGTGTATTACAGTTCAAACCACACCCATTACTCCCACTATAGATGGCATATGATGTGTAAGAGGTTCCGTCTTCACTCCCTGTAATCAAAGTGTAATCGGGAACCTCCCACCTGAGCCATTTCAACTTAACCTCCGCAGCTGTGATCCTACACACCAAGTTACGCTTGTACGATTCATTACAATACATGAAAGTGAGAGAAATAGCAGCCCAATTTAATCTCTACTATTTGAATCTCTATAACCTTCCTCCCTCTCTTCCTATGATTTCTGATAGACTTTCCATCATCCAATCCTTTCTGTAACAATCAGGCCTACCCAAAATAGATGAAGAAGAAGATACATTTCTTGATAGTCCCCTTATGCCCACTGAATTTCGTTCTGCGCTCTCCTAAATAAAACCGGGTAAAAGTCCTGGCCAGGACGGACTCACCAGTATTACAAAATGTTGTCAGATATCTTAGAGCCTCATTTTACCACCACTTTCAATTCTATACCCCCGGGAACCTCCTTACATTCTTCTCTTGTGGAAGCACACATCCCCAAGCTAGGCAAAGATGCTTCACTTTGCTAAGATTATTGCCAACAGACTGATACGCTTCCTCCCTACAATCATTGGCCTTCATCAGGTAGGTTTCACCCCTGAACAAGAAGGTAGGGACAACACTATTAAGGCCCTCTATATTAGCCAGTACTTGCGTAGATCTGTTGGAGAAGGCTTCTTTCTATCAACTGATGTGCAAAATGCCTTTGACGGGCTGGGCTCCATCTTAAATGAGAAATAGATAATCCGCGCTTCTGGAAAAAGAGACTAAAGTGGAAATATGTATTGTAAATTAAGACCTAAAGCAGCTCTAAAAGAGGATGGAAGAATCCTTTCAGCGATCGAGAAAAATATATATCAAAGCGCTAAAGGTATAAATAATATGAAACTTAGTGCAACCAAGTGATATAGTGAAATTAGGGTTCAGTCGGTCTAGCCCTAAACCAAGTGATATATCTTACATAGGATCATAAAAGAAAAAATTAAATTAATAATTCAATTGTGCTGTGGAAAACCAGATAATGATTGGGACAATAAAAAAATTTCAACCACTGTGTAAAGACATCAAATATATAACAATATATGAACGAGCCACGCAAAAAAATATATTATAAAAACGTTGAAATAAAGTGTTCAGTGAAAAATAAATGTAAAAAACGTGTGCAAAAGAAATTGTTAATGATATCGTGCTTTGAAAGCACTTAAGATATATCACTTGGTTTAGGGCTAGACCGCCTAAACCCTCATTTCACAATATCACTTGGTTGCACTAAGTTTCATATTATTTATACCTTTAGCGCTTTGATATATATTTTTCTCCATCTTAAATGCCCTCTCTCCCCAATCATTTTTATCTTAACCCTTAAACCTTTTCTTTGTATGCTCCAAATTTTTTTGAAAGCACGATTGCAGGCTCAAGTGTCACTAACTAAAAGCCTTCAATCCAGCTCCATTTGGTGAGTACCCACCCAAGAGGGGCTGTCGTACCACCGCTAAGAAATATATATCATCAACAATATATATCATTAACAATTTCTTTTGCACACGTTTTTTATGTTTATTTTTCACAAATTACAATGGACAACCAGTAAGGGCGAGCTAACAGCTACCATAACAGATTAAAAAAAAAAAATTATGATAAATGCAGCAATTGATGAGTACACGTATTGGGCAATGCACAGAGAGTAAATAGTAAATATAGTAATTCAATATGAAACAGTTGAACGATAAACGTGTGTCAGTTTGAGGCAACGAGTAAAACGCAATCATCAATTAATAGCCTTAATACAAGGTGCACAAGGAAGGGCTTTACACAGTAGAAAAACATTTCCCAGCACACTCACCAGCCAGCCTGCAAACAAATACACTTTCTAACTACTACGGTTAAAAATAGAGGTTTAAGTTGCACAAGTTTTGCAAAATATGTGGAAGCCGCACGGTCCTAACTCTAATCTATGAGAACCTCCATCTCTGGAGCAAATTTATAGCAAAGGATGAACTGGGTGCAGGTCCCCCAGAAGGCAGCTCAACCTCCTTAAAGGCATAGGGGCACACCAGAAGCCCAGCACATCACAATGTCAGCTGAAGCCCCCATGTATCTCCACACCAAATCCAACAAGTGAAATGAATGACAAAACACACTCGTCAATTATAACTAGCTTTAAAGCAAGTTGCACATGGAAGGGCTTTACACAGTTTTGTGTTTTTGTTTGTTTTTGTCCCTATGTCTTTAAGGAGGTTGGGCTGCTATCTAGCACCCAATTCATCCTATGCCATAAATGTGCTCCAGAGATGGAGGCTCTCATAGATTAGAGTTAGAACCGCACTATACAGAGGGGCCTTGATGTTGGCTGTGCGGCTTCCACATAATTTGCAACACATGTGAAACTAAAACCTCTGTTTTTAACCTTGGTAGTTAAACAGTGTATTTTATTTGCAGGCTGGCGAGTGTGCTGGGAAATGTTTGTTTTTGTACTTTGTAAAGCCCTTCCATGTGCACCTTGCTTTAAAGCTAGTTATAAATAGATTAGTGTGTTTGCCATTTGTTTCACTTGTTGGATTTGCTGTGGGGACTGGAGGCTTCATCTGCCATTTTGATGTGCTGGGCTACTATACAGATGGCCTTGATGTTGGCTGTGCTGCTGTGCTGAGCAGCCTATGTAAGGGTATCAAGCCTTGTATGGCGCTGATGGGAAAGCCTACCTACAAAGTATGCATAGACTGGCAAATAAAAGAGAGGACATTGAAGGGGATTTCTAAAAACTGGAGCAGACAAAATCTGGAGCAGCTGTGCATGGCAACCAATCAGCTTCTCGCTTTCATTTTCAAATCTTACCTGAACAAAATTAAGAGAGAAGCTGATTGATTGCCATGCAGAGTTGCTCCAGATTTTGTCTGCTCCGGTTTTTATAAATTCTCCCTATTGTATTAGTAACGGTAAACGGGAGAAAGGTCCATAGAAGCACCTCATTAGTTTAAAAAAGAAGTTCAATTTAGGTATTAGTTGCCAAGTGTTGAAATTAAAAAAAAATTGAGAAAAAGCAAACCCCCATAGAACATTGCTAGAAACTGAAAAGTCTCATGAGAAAACATGGAAGTCACAAGTATAAGCAAAGAGAAACAGCCGGGGTGCGGGATGTAGTTGGAGGCTTAGAGATGAATCGAAGATCACTGCGCTAGTCCAGATGGTCGATTGGATCGAGCTGGAGATTAGCACAGAAATCAGGAAGATCTCACCACCTTGGAAAGGAACGCTCAGGCAGAATGGGAAGCACCGTCTGCATGTAAGGCCCTCATTTCTTAAAAGGGAAAGAAGGGGGCGTGATTCATTGCCACCAGTTGAGCTGTGTGATCATCTCTCAAGCGTTGTAGTGAAGAAAAGGCGGCATTGCGTTTCTTCCCTTCTTTCATCACGTTGTCAATCCTGGATGACATGACTTGAAAATCTGATTTGAAATCTGTAATGGCTGTGGACAAAGTATTTTTGATATCCGCAGCAATCAGTCATGTCTGCTTATGTTGGTATCTGTTGTTGAAGGGGCCGCAAGTTATCCTCAGCCCCTCTACCTGATATGCCGGATATACCTGCCGGACTGGCTTCATGGCGCCATATTGGCCTTGTGGTCGAGCTGGTCTCGTTGCTGGAAGTGAAATATGTCTGGAATGCTTTGGTTGGAAGCCTGAAGGGTATCCCTCAAGTGTTTAGCAGCCAGGGTAGAACGATTATTCTTCCCCATAATGAGCAAAGAGCCGGTAACATAGCTTCGGTCTAGCTGCTGTAGCAGAGAGCCGGGATTACACGTCCGCCACATACAATTTTCAAGCTATGCCCCAATTTACCATACTTTTATATATTTCCCTGAATGCAAAAACACATGTAAAATAAAATATTATATTTATCAATTTAATACATTTAAATTAAAGTGTTTGTATAACCCACATTTTTCTTTACCTTTGGAAAAAGGAAGATTTATAGCCTCTTTGAATTTTTTTTTTTTTTTTTGCTTTGTGTGTCCACTAAATCTCCTCTCTTTGTCCTGGTGACGATTGTCAGAAAGAATGCCAGAAAGTGATGAAAAATTCAATATTTTAGAGGTAAGATCAAATCTTCTAATGGTGACACCTGTTCCAGTGACAACTGCCTAAAAGGGGAATTGCCCTTACTTTGTAGAAATGTACTTTATCATTGTATATTCAGGACACAAAGCGAAGGGAAATCCCCCAAACAGAAAACAGACTGCCAAAAATAAACTAGCAAGGGTTTTAAAGAATTAATTAGAATGAGAACAAGGGTGATAAAAGAAAATTCTGTGTTAATTTATACAGTTATCTGTCTCCTAAGTCAGCCTCTAAAGATATCTGACATTCCCCTGGAGTCCACCGTCTGCCACCATTCCCAGAATAATGTTTCAACACACACAATTACCAATACCAATTCATTACAAACACATTGCAAAGAGGACTATATAAATATTCACAGCAGAGCTCCGAAAATGAATACAATATGCAGTATACATTTCCAAAATGTATACATTTACAGATGTATGCATTATTTACAAATAATATCTTGTGGGAATTATAAATAGTTATCAGATTTTTCAGGGTGTTTTTACTTAATATCTGAGTTGTTTTTAAAAGTTACCACTGATCTGAAGTAAAATAAAACATCTGAAATGTCAATCATTTTG